TGCAGGAGGGGGCTCAGGGCTGGGGCAGAGGATTAGGGTGTGGGGGAATGAGGGCTCTGACTGGGGCTGGGGCTGAGGGTTTTGGGGCATTGGAGAGGCTCAGGGCTAGGATGGAAGGGCAGAGTAAGGGCAGCCTGTCTTGCCATTAGTGATGGGGGGCACTAGGACCCAGGGGCAGCAGACAGCAGTTGCTGCTGGCTCTGGCAGTAGAAGCAGGCAAGGGGAGAGGCAGGCAGGGAGGGGGGGACCCACCGGGGGGAGGGATGCGCGGAGGGGGAGTGGCAGGTGGAGGCCGGGGACCCATCCAACCCTCCCCCTGCTCCCTGACTGCCCCCGGGACTCCCCTTACCATGCCCATGTCCACGTGTAGGCAAAACACGCTGCAGGCAGCACGGGGGAGCAGGGGAGGGGCTCTGGCTGCTGGAGGCCAATGGAAGAGGCTCAATCAGGCCCAGCCGCCCAATCAGCCACGCCACACTGTGCATGGAAGGGACGGAGGGGCGGGGAAAAATCCCGGACCTTTTAACCTTGTTACCAATTCCTCCCGGACGCAAAAGCTGGACATGTCCGGGGAAATATGGAAGGATGGTAACCCCACTGCCGAGGGACGCTGGGCTGTGGTTGGCCAGCTGGCCGGGGCCTGGGGCTGGCCGGGGCCTGGGGCTGGGGGCTGCTCTGGCCTAGCACAGGGCTGGGGTCACCCGGGGCCGGCTGGTGCCGCTGGGGTTCTTGGCATCGCATGACTGGGGCTCAGGTTGGTTGGGTGGATGCGGCTGACCCGGGACTGGGGCTGTGCCTGGGGTCCTCTGGCGGCGGGGGTGGGGGGCTGTCTTGGGGTTCCGGCAGGTCTGGGGGTTCTCTGGCTGGGGCAGGGGGTGGCAAGGGGCATTCAGGGCTCCTGCTTCTAGAAGCGGGGCCTTGTGCAGGGGGGGGCTGGGGTTGCAGGGCTAGCCACCCGGAAACGGGGGTCCAGCCCATGGGGGATGGAGTCACTGGGGGGAGCAGCAGCTGCTGGAGATTTCAGTCTGAGGGACGGGGGATACCTGGCTCCAGGGGAAGCTGCGGAGCAGGGGGCCTTTCCCAGGGGGATACTCCCCATCTCCGGGGACACACAGAGCTTTTGGGGCCTAGGGGCTGCTCAGCCAGCCCCTCCCCACTCCCTTGGACGCCCAGCACTCAATGGGGAGCTGTGCGGGGGAGGGGCCGGTGGCTGGGTCGCGGTGTCAGCCCCTCCCCGCCCAGGGTCTGCGTCTCACGGCCTGTCTCCTTCTACTCCCAGAGCCCCCTCTGCCCAAGCCCATCATCAGCCCCAGTGGGGAGGTCTCCCTGGGGGGAGCTGTGTCCATCTGGTGTTGTGGGAAGGGCCGGGGTGTGCGGATCGTGCTGAATAAAGGGGGACGCCATGTTGCACACGTGGATTCGGAGAAGTTGAAATTTCTGTTTCCCATCAACAACGTGCGCCGGGAGCAGGGCGGGAACTATAGCTGCTC